TTGATTGAGTTACCACCCAACTCTGGAAGCACTTGATTAATTCAGATCATCAGATTCGAGTGGGGCTATTCTTATCTTAGCAGACAAGTTTCAGTTTATAACATGTTTTGATTTGAACATGAGTAACGGGGGATACTTGGAGGTTTAAAAATGTTTTCAAAGACGAATACATCTCTGTAATCCAACATTTGTGACAATTCAGAGGCCAAGTCGACGGCTTATTTTTTTGAAGAGTTTATACAGTATCAATCTGAAAATTGAAAAAAGTAAGTGAATATAGTTACACTGCACAGAACGACTGTAAAACATGGATTCGACTTCAACTAGCTAACCTCAAGCTCAACAAGGATCCGGAGGTTCCCATTCTCCTGCAAATTCTCTTATTCTTGTCAATGGGTCAATCCTGTTCTCATCCGTCTTGAACCAAAAATCACATTCAAGGCAGAAAGCACTCTTCTTCCTCATGCAGCTCCCACATTCGTACGACTAATTTTCTTTCGGGGGCTCGAAACAGCGCATTCTGCATTATCTGCAAGTCCACTTTCACCAAAGGCAGCGTCTGCATTGCCTACAGATTCATTTGCAGGCTCGTTTTGATGAACAGCAACTTCAGTGCAGACCGTAAGATTATTGGGGGTGGTAGCTTTGGCGGCGGAATCTACATGTAAGGTAGCAGCTGCATCGGGGGAAAGTGCACGTACATTCTGGGAGATGGAAGCTTCAGGGGTAACAACAGGCATGTCTTTGGGGGAGGCAGGTTTGGTGGAAATTACAGGTACATCTTTGAGGGTGGCAGCTTTGGCAGCAACTGCAGGAACATCTTGGTGGGTGAAAGCTTTCGGGAAAACTGCAGGTATATTATTCTGGGGGGAGGCAGCTTGGGTGGAGGAAACGGCAGGTTCATTATGGGGGTTAGCAACTCCTGCTGCCATGACTGCTGGGGAATCCATCAAGCTAGCAGCTATTGCAGCCTTGAAGTCCTCATCCTCCACGTCCATCAGCATTTCTGCATCTCCATATGAAAGAAATGTATCGTGCGGCTTTGTCCAGTTTATTCCTTGAGGAGGGCGGGCTTGGGTTGAGTTGCACGATTTGGTTATCCTATCAGCATCCTCAGGGGTAAGCCATTGACCATAACCGTTGGATGCTTCAGAGCATGAGATGGGGAAATCGTTGGGGAAATTACCCCTCACAATAAAAATGCTCCAACCGAAGCCCTTTAGAGAGTCCAAGTAAGCTGAAAGGTAAAACTTAGAAAGATTCTGTGGGGCTGCATATAGACTATCAAAATTGTACCACTCCCCATTCACTTTCCTAATACAAAACCAATGGTTTTGCAAGTGACAAATAAATGCACTCTCCAGTTCAGGATCAATCTGTGCAAGTTCAGCAGCTGGTGAGTTGAGAGCAATGACTTGGAGATCCCATACCTCCAAAGCCTTTTGTAATACCTGCAAGCAAATATATAATGGTTTAAACAAATAAGATCATCCCAACAGGTTCTACACATTGCTTGTTATGTACACATTGAAGAAAATTGGTTTATAAAAAATGAACTCCACTCCATCTGAATACTTCCCTGTTTTGCACCAAATAAGGTATTGAGTTTCATCACTCTAATATCCACAAAGCTCATAACCAACGTGTCTTGTCCAGTATAGTTGATGGGAACCAAGAATTCTTACATTAAAATAAGGAACATATTACAAGATTAGGGTAGAAGGTCAAAAGTCCGTCCTTACTTGCCCATTTCCAATATTTTCTGATTAGTCACTAAATCATGCTCTACTCCCTCACTTCCCGTCTTTCTTTTTAACCAGTTGCTGGTAAAACAAATCTTCTAACAATCTCAAACCATCTCATATGCTAATTCAAGTTAAATTCAAGTATTAAGGCCTAATTTGATAACCATTTGAATTTTAGTTTAAAAATTGATCTTATAAACACTACTTTCACCTATAAGTTTCTTTGCTTTGTTATCTATTTCTTACCAATGTTTCCTTAAGAAATATGAAAATAAAGAAAGTATGAGAAAATAAGCACAATTTCCAAAAAGCAAAAAACCAAATGCTACTAAATGAGACCTTAACAACCTCTAGCCATCCCATATGCTAATTAAGCTAAATTCAAGAAATAAGGCGCCATTTGATAACCATTTAACTTTTTGTTTAAAAAGATAAAGCTTATAAACACTACTTTCACCTCTGAGTTTCTTTGCTTTGTTATCTACTTTTTACCAATGTTTCAAGAAATATGAAAATAAAGAAATTGCCAGAAATAAACACAATTTTCAATTAAAAAAAAATCAAATGGTTATCAAATGATACCCTAAGAGATCATAAGTATATCTCTTCTAGAATAGCTATGCCCAAAGCTCTCCCCCAACACACCATGTGGTCAACTCTCATTTACAGTTATAAGTTAAAGGTAAACCTATTCTTTAAATTTTCACATTTGAAGCAGAGCATACAGCAAGAAACGTACATCACTTGAAGGAATCACAACAAACTTTTACTGTATTATCAGGTACAGCCGAATAGTAGTAGCAAGCATTGCCACAAAGGTCGTGCATTGCAATGTTAATCAATTTTGCACCACTACACTACTCAACGCTGCTATCTCAGGTGGACGACATTGAGACATAAGAGAATAGAAGCTATGGGTTCTTGCAATTAGTGAACATTGTTTAGAAAAAGTAATTACCGGTACTATTATGTACATGCTAATTCCCATATCATCATTACAAGTCAATGTATCAGCTATTTTAAATTCAAAAACATAACTGTTGTAACCATTACGCAAATGACTCATAATTACTGTCACGACTGCATAGTGGCTTACAACGGTTTGTCACTACGTTAAGAGAATACAGAACTATGACATCAGGATCGCAATTCAATTGCTTTCCATAAGACGTTCGATATATTCGAATACCACTGTTTTAAAATATTCAATAACGACTGGAATTCGAGTAGTCTATTCGCGTGTAAAGAGAATTCAAATCAGATTGAAGAAGTTACACAAAGACTATCCATGGAAGAACGAGCGTATTCACATTAAATTGATCATAGTTCTCGACAGCATGAGGCAAGATTTTAGGCCATTATCAAACGAATCAACAGATATGCAAAGAAGACCTTCACCTTCCCTCAACCAAGTTCGAGAAGGAGACGGAGAAGAGAATAACAACCAAGAACAGATACTGCGATAGAAATCAAACCTGGATGCTAAAATCACCGTCCAAGGAGACATTGTGAGACTCCTCGGAGAGAAAATCACCGGTGGTGGAACCAGCAAGCATCATCTGGCGTTCTTTTCGGTCAAGATCGTATGCCAGAGCAGCCAAATCGAATTCGGAGAAGAAGGGACCCTGCAACACGGTGTTGACACAATGCACAGCGCAGAGCTTTGATTCTTGTACCTCATGATACAACATCCCTCCATTGCTGGCTTCGTCCATAATCAGAATCACACCTCAAAAGACAAAATAGGAAGAAGAGAGAGAAATAAACCCTAGAATCAGCCAAGCCAAGCCAAAGCTAAGCTATGCCTATAACTTTTGGTCTATGCTTATAATTCTCTCTCCAACCAAAAAAAAAATGCGGCAATTAATCTTTTGCTTCAAATTAAGTTAATTTAACTTTTACACATACAATATTATGTCAATTTACTCTCATTAATATTATGAAGCTAAACTCACTTTAACCATGAATGTTTAAACTTTATTACTTTCATTAATTTACTTCATTAGTTCAATTTTCCTTAAATTTACTTTCTAATTTTATATAAAATTTATGAATATCCACAAAATAAAATATTGCTTGCTAACGTGAAAGATAGACAGACCATTAAACAAATCTCCCAAAAGCAACAAATTTCAACAAAAATCCAACCTTTATGTCCCATTTCTCTTAAAGTGTCATCAATTCATTTATTTCTTCATAAAAAATCAATGTTTAAACAACTCAAAAGTTTGGAACTCACGCTCACAATGCAAAAGCTTTTACAAAAAAATTAGATTAGAAGAGCTTGGCATTGATTGACCAATAAGAGAGCTTTGGGTGTTGTGTTATTGGGTGCCTCCGACCATTCATGGTTGGTCGAGCATGTCTCCGTTGGCTCATCTTTAGATGGCAACAAGGTCACATCACCCCTAAAATAAGGTCCTCAAACAAGCAGATCGTAGTGGTTCCTACCGCTGTAAAGCAACCTCACAGGTTTCTTGGGTTTTCCTCCCTTGAACTCAGCTCCATATTCTGCAATAGGAATAAAGCTAGAGCTACGCGAACCCATTCTGTGCTGAAAATTAAGTAGAGAACATGTTAATTTCTCCTATTCTTTTCAAACGTCGACACAAATGAAATCGTTATATCAGAGAGGGCTGAATTAAATTTGTGCAGTTAAACTTAAAGGGAGTAACACCACCTAATCCTGTTCCTATCTCAGAAATTGCCCAAGACTATCAGAGAATATACTCGACCTCAGTTTAGACACCAACATTTGTATGGGTATTGATTTAGGTATCTTAGTTGAGAAAAGTATACCTCATGCTCTGGTATGTAGACAATGATAGGTTGCTTACAGAGCTTTGACAATACCTGATAGAGGTTAATACAGATCATGATTCATACGTGATGTGAACGAACGGTGGCTTTACACATGGCGCGTAAATGCAAAATAGATTTAACAAAAATCTGAGTATAGCTTGTGAAGATACGCCAGAAGAAGAGAACTAACCAATAGCTCTGACTCTCCTCCCCAGAAATTAGGTGTACGAATTCGTCGGCAGTAGCTGAATTTATTTTTGTAAGTTCTCATTATCAGACAGCAATCAAAGACATGTGGAAATCCAAAATCTAAGAGGACAACTTAACATGAATAGAAAGAATAAAAAAGTAAAAAGGGAAACCAACCAACCGTTCTAATGGCTCCTCAGCAGTAATTGCAATGAGAGCTTCTTCATACTGCCGTCTTTCTTTGCCATTATCACAGATAACTTCTTTCACAGCCATGCGTAAATCATCTGCATGTTTAAGCTACCAACATCAATGATTTATGAAAATTAGAACTTTAGATCATTCATACACAAACTCCAGAATGTATACTCATATGATTACAAACACTTGAAAACTATTAGTATAACAACCCAAATCCACCGCTAGAAGATATTGTCCTCTTTGGGCTTTCCCTTTTAGACTTCCCTTCAGGTTTTTAAAACGCATATGCTAAGGAGAGGTTTCCACACCCGTATAAAGAATGTTTCGTTCTCCTCCCCAACCGATATAGGATCTCACAATTAGAAAGAGGATAGATGTCCACAGTCCCATACGCCTTTTGTTGTGTGACTGATAAACATATTTTTGTGCTACAAGCACAACTCACTCGTCAAGGTCACCTGAGTGTCGAAGTGGGCTTGTCAAAATGAAACACTAATTCAAGACAAAAGAAAAAAAAGACTCTAGCTTTGATGTTCATGGTAACCTTAGTAGACAACTGGAGCACCCAAAAACATTTGGTTGATATAGTAAACAGAATATTTGCACAATCTTCCTACTTGTTCAATCAACATGAAGATTATGTTCCGCACTCAATTATCCAAGAAGATATGTCTGCACTCGCATTGTGCCTATAAGAGATGATATATCAGAGCTTACCTGCATCATTTTTCTCCTCAAATGGACGAAGAGGAATCCCCTTGTTGAAAGCCATTCCTTTGGCCTGATTTTATTAAGAGGAAGTTAGTTTAAAAGGCAATAAAGATTGCCCCCACTTCCTTGAGACAGCCAGTAAGCAGGAATACAAATACTTGCGAATCACTGTCCTTAATCTTATTTCTGAAGATTATCCTTGTTTCTAAAAATTTATTTGTGTTTCACTTCATAAATTTTGTTTTTAAAATTTGCTTTTTAGACCGAAAATGAAGTGGCATCAAAAGCATAGCAAAGAAAGTGAAAAACAAAAATCCACAATTAGATAATTTGAAACATAAATTATAATAAACAGAGGGAATCACAAAATAAATTCAAGAGAGAACACAAGAAAAGAATAAGGGAAGATAGGTTACAAGCGCACGGAATAGGCAGCGTCCATCTCCAGTAACTTTCTGGACTTTGTAGTGCTCAGCTTTCCTCAATGCAGGCGATTCAGCGCGCCTAAGAACAACAATTTATGAATTCCGAAAAGACACGGATATCAAAAACTTTCGCCCAACTAAAAGAGAATGAATGAACTTACAGCATGGGTCCAATTTTAGCAAAGAGTGGGCGGCCGCGATTCATAGAAAAAGGGAAAGAAGGAGCGACTGAGTTGGAAGGTGAAATTGAATTTACAGGCGAAGATACGAGCTCAAATCGAGCAATTCCTAGTCGCAATTGCTCGAGAATCGCCACTACGAGATGAACAAACCGACAATAATTCGAAAAGGAAAAATAACGAAGAAAAACAGAGAGACAATGAGAAGAAGATCCATAGGAATGAAGAAGGTCTCACCATTTTGAGGTTTCTCCGCCATAATATCCATGGAAAAGAAGCAAGCTACGAAGAGGGAGGCGCTGCCCGGCAAAACTAAGTTCCAATACAATTTCATCCATTTCTTTAAATATAAATAATTTTCATTTTTTTTAATCAATTAAAATAAGAGAATTTAAGATTATTTATTAATTTTAATTTTTGATACAGACACTTAATACAGGAAGGGAATAACGGCCTTCCTATCTCGGGGATAATCCTCCCCGAACTTGTTCAAGTACCACGTGTGGTTCGCACGTGCCCTGGGCACTAAATTGGCACACGTGTAAAGAAAAAACCCTAGCCCAGCCCATGACCCGCACATCACCGCCCAGCCCAGCCACTCCGCAATCTCTCCCAAATAATTAGGGCAACTCACCAACTCAAACCACCCTCCCGTCGGCACCTTATATCCGCCGCCCGCCATCTTCAATTTTACCAGAACACCATCCGACCAAATATTCACTGCCATCCCCAGCAGAAAAACCACCGCCCCACCGAAAAACCGCCACCAAAACCACTCGTCTCTGTCGTAATCCATGTAGTGAGACACAGATCTGGTCTGCAGGTAAGAGTTGAGCAAATTGAACACGAATGCCATGAGCGCCATAACCACCGGGAAACCGGTGGCGGAATTCCGTCGAGTCCCACTCCGGAGAAGGCGAATCGGGTAGAGACAGGTGCGATTGAGATAGTGGAGGAGGAAGAGGGAGATGAGAAGGAGAGACTTGTAGTTGGAGGAGTTATCACCGGAGGGGAAGAGTAGGAGAGTCAGCCATAGGGTGGGACTTTCCATGAGGAACCACGCCAACGGAACCGACATGGTCGGGCCCCACCCCGGGCGGTTGTGCTTCCCGTAGGGCGCCTGAAGAAACCTCAGGGAGACGGCGGTCGGTGGTCCGATGAGGTACAGGGCGAGAAGGCTGTTGTGGAACAGAGTCTGGTCCGAAGCCATTAGTGTGATGGGTTGGAGGAATCTGGTTGTGGGTTTGATTCAAATTTGTACTATGGCCCCATTTTAGTTTGTATGTACATGCCGAAAGAAACTTTCACAGAAAACGACGCCTCTGGAACCTTATAGCCAAGCCACCCTCCCTACTCATTAAAGTCCATGGCTCTGGCTATGCCTATGGCTGGAGAAAGCTGAAAAGAAGATCCTATTCTAATTTCTATAACTAAATTTTGGTACAAAATTAATTGGAGAAAATGAATACTCATTTAATATATAAATCAATGAAGGAATAATTGTACCCTAAAGGACGAATAAATTAGGGACCTTGAGCCTTCAAGGAGTGAATTGTGTATAAATAATATTAGAGTCAAATATCGACTGCTAATGAAGACGTTCGACCTTTCTTCAATCTAGACTTTATATCTAAACTCATAGATCCAATTGTTGAATGATTGAGGGTTGGACTTATGGCCCATAAGACTATCAGGAATATAAGAGAGGCCTCACCAAAAAAAAAAAAACAAATTGCATGAAAAAACAAATTGCATGGAAAAACAGATATTGAGTGTAATTTTAAAGAGTGTTTTAATTTATACAATTATTATCAATTTGAGGCTTAAAACTAATACAAAATAATTTATTATTATTATTATTATTATTATTATTATTGGGGAAGAGTAATTATGGATGATAATGATGTGGCAAAGTAATTAGGTAACATTAATAATGATCTAAAAAGGAATGGTGGGGTTTGATTGCAATATTTTTGGGATCAATGGGTTGCGCATGCTTTTATATTGTATTATTACCTGATTACCACTTCACCTTTATTTTATTATATATACATAATAATAACCACCTCCATACTTCTTTAATTAATTGCCAAACAAATTTCTTAATGAATATTATTAAAATTAAATTATGTTGAGTTTTTTTTTGGAAGGTAAATTCCGACACGACAAATCTCAATTGTATCAATGATTGAATAGCAAAGGAGAGACAAATAAATATACACAATGTTGGTGGGGACTTATAAGTTAACATTAAATTTAGGGGAAAAAAGCATTAAACGAACACATGGATCCATATTCCTTTCAAAACAATCCTTCACATCGTGATTTTGGAACCTTTCCTATTATGTTTAATACATCATTAAATTTATAAATGCATCTAATATTTCTATTAAACGGTTTAAAGATTCAAATTTTTTTATTTTTTAATTAAAAATATATATTTTAACGAATACTTCATGAATTTTGCTAGAACATAGAGTAATAATGTTAGACATATAAATAGACAAAGGAGAATCATGTTGGACCAACCAACCTTTGGATACCATGGAAAGGCAAACCATAATTCAGGTATTTCATTTTTCATTAATTAAAATAAATAAATAAAGAGCAAGGCAAACCCACAAGCCTTTTGCCCTTGAAAAAAAAAAACCACATATTTTTAAAAATTAATTATTTAAAAAGAAATAAAAGGGTTAAAGTTAAAGATAGGGGAGGACGGCAAAGCGGTTTACACTATATAGTATGCCCACACTGATCCAGCACCGTGGATTTGGGCTTACCGGGTCTTACCCACCTCATGACGACCAACCACAACATTCCACGTGTAATACGGTGACTGGTTATCTTAAATTTACATTAATTAATTTGTTTTTTCACGGTGGTTCAGCGGTTTGTGTATTTGATAATGTGAAAGGGGCTTTGGAAATTTAGATTCTGTGTTGAGCAACCTTGGGATTCGGAGGCAACAATAATACAATAAATACAATAATACAATTATACAATGCACCTTATTCATTTCGCCATTTATTCACTTTCCAAATCAAATAATTATTAAAATAAAACATGTTGAATATTTGTATTTATAACAATAAATAATAATAATAGTGGTGTTTTCATTGAAAACTAAAAAGGGACAGATGTACCCCATAGCTCATTTCGGGAAATTTGCTTGCTTTGGAGATTCTAGAGGGCGATGGATGTAATTTCATGAAACTCGTTTGCCCCCCCCTTTTTTTTTTATTTTTCTTCTTTATTTTTCAATTATATTTTTGTTATTTACAATAAGAATAATAATTTTGGAAAAAAATATGTATCAAGTGGAAATTAAAAAAAGGTAAAAGGGTGGGGGTGGTAGAATAGTCATTTCCATTGCGAGTTCCCCCTACAAACAATTATTTATTTATTTAAAATTTGGGAAAATATTAAAAGAATTTATTAAAAAGAAATGAAGCTGCAAGATCTCAGTCTTTTTCTCTTTCTTTCACTTTCCTAATTCCTTCTCGCCAACATTTCCCAATATCCTATTATGACAGCCTTCTTCTTCTTCTTCTTCTTCTTCTTCTTCTTCTTCTTCTTCTTCACTCTCTCATAGCTTCTCCTTCTTTGTTATGAATCCCTCCACCCACGAGCAACCAGCACCTCCTCCTCCTTTGCCGCCGTTGCCCCACCGCCCTTCCGCCGCTTGTCCTCGTCACCCACAAGAGCAGTTTACTGCTTTCTGCCCTTTATGTCTCTGTGAGCGTCTCTCTCTTCTCGATTCCTCTTCTACTACTTCTTCTTCCTCTACCCGGAAACCCCATTCCACTGCTGCCTCTGCTCTTAAGGCTATTTTCAGGCCTGCTCCTCCTAATCGACCCTCTTCTTTTTTTCCTGAGCTTCGTCGTACTAAATCCTTCTCTGCTTCTAAGAACGACGCCTTCTCCGCTGTCTTTGAGCCGCAGAGGAAATCTTGCGACGTTCGAGTGCGTAACGCTCACTGCTCTCTCTTTTCCCACGACGCTTCTGCTTCCTCTAACCTTGTTGCTCCTCCTGCTGAAATTACTCCCGAGACTAAGATTTTGGAGGACTCCAGTTCGTCCTGCCTTGAATCGCATCCCGTCGGCGACGGGGAAATTAAGGTTTCGAAACGACCCAATGTGGTGGATGTTGTGATCGAAAACGGAGTTCAGGAGATCGTTGAAGAAGAAGAAATTCGGGTTGAAGTAGGGCCAGAACCGGTGCAACTACAGGAGGAATTCAAAACCATGAAGGATCATATAGATCTCGATTCACACACGAAGAAGCCATCCGGAAGGGGGAGCTTCTGGTCGGCGGCTTCCGTTTTCAGCAAGAAGCTGCAGAAATGGAGGGATAAACAGAAGGAGAAGAAGCAGAGAAACGGCGGTGGATCTACGACATTGCCAGTGGAGAAGCCAATCGGACGCCATTTCCGAGATACCCAGTCGGAAATTGCTGACTACGGCTACGGCCGACGATCCTGCGATATTGATCCGAGATTCTCTCTCGATGCCGGCCGAATGTCCTTCGACGATCCCCGCTATTCGTTCGACGAACCGAGGGCTTCTTGGGACGGGTATTTGATTAGCCGAACGTTCCCAAGAATGCCCACTATGCTTTCCGTCGTTGAGGATGCCCCTATCAACGTCTTCCGTACCGATGCCCAAATTCCCGTCGAGGACTCCATAAATTCAACCAATGAGGAAGAAAATATCCCCGGCGGGTCTTCGCAGACCCGGGATTACTATTCAGACTCTTCTTCCCGTCGACGGAAGAGCCTCGACCGGTCCAACTCCATCAGAAAGACCGCCGCAGCGGTGGTGGCTGAGATTGATGAGATGAAGTCGTCTGTTTCGAACGCCAAAGTTTCTCCTGCAACTACAGATGTGTGCCATGGCCCGAAACTAGCCATCCCAGATAGAGATTCGAACTCCAGTTCCCTGCAAGAGGACTGCTCTAAGTCCTTCGATTCGGCATTTAATGATGCTGCGTCGGTGGTTGGGACGGGGAACCGGAAAGAGGAGTCAAAAAAGTCCAGAGGGTGGGGGAAAGGTTGGAGAATCTGGGGATTGATTAACCGGCGGGGAGGAAACAAAGATGAGGAGGAAGACAAAGAGAGTAGTAGACCCAATGGCATGGAGCGGTCGTATTCAGGGTCATGGCCGGAGCTGCGCGGCGAGCGGAATAGCGATGTCAAAGGAGGGTTCAATCCCAAAATGTTTAGGAGTAACAGCAGTGTAAGTTGGAGGAGTTCAAGTATGATGGGTGGATCTTTCAGTAGTTCAAGGAAAAGCAATGCAGAAACTAATGGGAATGGGAGGAAGAAGAACGAGGAGCCAGTCTTGGAAAGGAATCGTAGTGCTCGACATTCTCCGACGAACATCGACAATGGACTTCTCCGGTTCTACTTGACGTCGTTGCGGGGCAGCAGGCGAGGCGGGTCGGGAAAGGTGAAACCAAATCAAGCACAGTCCATTGCTAGAAGTGTTCTTCGACTGTATTAAACTGATATTGGTTGGGGAAGGATTCAATTCAAAAACATGTTTTCTGGTTGAAAGTTGCTACATGAATATATACATATATATTTGTTGTTCAAGCGCTTTCCTTCCTTGCTGGGTTTATTGGAAATGGATGGAAAAACAGTTTCAAAACTGTTCATGTGTCTTCTTCATGTTCATCTTTCTACTGTGATTTGATTTCATCACATTGTTTGAGTAAGCAAAGCACTTGAGAATGAGACAGCCAATGCCCAAAAGAAAAGGGGAAATCATGATGAAGCTCTTGATTCTTGTTTTGTTTCTTATATTATCAATATCACTGATGGTGACATTAATATCTTTGTAATAAATGAAGTCAAAAGCATTACTGCAAGAATTGTGAATTTAATTTGTAGGGTCGACCATGATTGGCTTCACATAAAACTTTATTTTATAAATAATAATAAAAAACAATCATATTACATCAATCTAATAATATTCCATTGGAATGAGAGAAGAAGAGTGTTAGTGAAAATGCTAGATTTGAAGGAAGTGGACTGTGAGATCGAGATCGTACATCAATTAGAGAGGGTAACAAAACATTCTTCCCAAAAGCTAATCCTTTTGTTTAATAATTTTGCCCACAAAGTCAACAAAGCAACCAATGTAAAAGAAAAGAGAAGAAAAAGAAGCAATCCCAACAATAAGTTGGTCACAATCCACACTTTTTGACCATTCAACACTAGAATTAAAAGTTGTCCAACTCAATGTAATGAAAAGCGAGTAAGTGAGAACGTATGAGAGCATCAAGGACTGGATTTTCAGCGCAAATGGCCTGTTGCCCTTTTGGAAGTGTAGCTTTTAGCCACTAACAGATAGACAAAGAAATTAACCACGCTGAGAATCGCCAACAGCCAGAAGAAATAGTCAAGATGTCC